AATACCTCCTGCAAACTTGTTTTTAAAATAGTACTCTTCTGATTTGTTCACACGTCTCCGCTATTCCCAGTGTTTGTATCTAACACAAAATTCAATTCCCTGTTTTTCTCAGGTGCTGTAACATGCATGTGGATGAATGAGCAATGCAGCAGTATTCTCACAGGAGGGGAAGATAAACAAATCATGTTCTGGAAACTGCAATATTAAGTGCCTTTTCCCTACAGATACTTAAATGAACTCAACATATTTTAAACCAAACTTCATAAAGGAACTTACCCATGTGCAATGATGGCTGCTGAAGGTCAACCAAAAAAGAAAGCTTGGTTTATCTAAAACTTTCTAGCTTATGGTGACTTCATTTAAAGCTCTTGTACTGTAATTTCCATACTGTAATATTTTTGTTTGTATTTCATTAAGGCTGTCATATTGTCTCAACTTGAAAATGCTTGTCTTCATTTGAGATAAGACTTATTTTTCTGTAATTAAAGAGATATTAACTTGCAATCACTGTGTGATCTACTTGAACTGCATCAAATAGGGTAGTGTATGTTTAAATCAATAAAGCAAGCCTCTCTTATTTCCGCAAGGACCACGTTCATATCATCTTTTTTTGAATTGGAAGCTTCTAAGCAAAAGCCTTTTCATAAACCTCTGCTCTCTACAAATTTATTAGAAGGAAACATGATCTTCCCTTAGCCCTACCACTCTAAAGAGTCTTTCTCATCTATCACACCTGCCTGCTTCCTAGTATAGTAGAACCTCCAATTTCTTGTGTTGAACAGGGGCTAAAGGAGGAATCTTTACTCATGAACAAAGTGTTTCTATACCTGAGGCAGCTGTTATACTTTAATCACCTACAGGACAGCTGCAGTAGTTCCCACTTTGTGCAGGAGAAACATTTGTTCTGCTCCAAGGGAGCAGAATTGGGGGTTGTGAGAAAGGTTACTTACCAATAACTTGTTCTTCCAGTTGCCTTTGTATATTCACACTGGTGCCTCTTGGTGTTGAGCTGCAGAGGCACCATAGGGGTGGACATGTGCATTCAAATGCAATGGTGATTTCAGCACCTTACTCCTACATGTGTCCTCCCAAACTCCAGTTCTGATTTTTTTTGTACAACGCAGAGGGGAAGATGCAAGTAATGTGATGGCAGAAGGGACTGAGAACAGTAACCTCATCTTATTTTAGGCCCCTGTGTACCCTCAGCAGGGGGAGATTAGTAAGTAGGGCCCCATGATGGACAGTGAATGAGGAGTTCTGTAGATGAATGTGGACTAGCACTGCTCTCCCAACTGGGCATGAATGTGAAGTCTGATTAATAGTGCTTGCTGATTGTATGGCTGGTGCTGCTCTGTGAATAGGAATGTGCCTGAAAAAAGCCCCAGATGCTGCAGCAGCTCTGGCAGGAGTGCATTTTAATCCCAGGAGCATTGTGGTTGTAGCTAAACTGTCACCTCACTGTATACATCTTTTATCCTTCCAAGGAGTGTCAAGTTAGAGCTGAACCCTAGGTTACCAATTGATTCCCTTTGTTCCACTGGCAGAATCTAGTAAGGGGCACCATGATTAAAACTTGGAAAAATATTTTGCCCAAAACTTTTCCAGTAAAAAATACAGATTGTTAAATTGAAAATTTTGCCAAATTGTTGTGGGTTTTTTTTCTGAGGGACCTTTTTTAATAAAAAGAAATTGAAGGATTTTGACACTTTGGAAATGCTTCCATTTTTTAATGTTAAATGCTCAAAATTGAAACTTTTTTTAATTGTTTTGGTTTGACCCAAAATTAATTTTTTGTAATTGCCAGAAAACTGAAAAGTTGGTTATTCACTTAGCTGTCCTTGTGGTGTCCCACAAGCTGGTAAGAAAGCCAGGCAAACTTGATAATTGGCCATTCAAAATCTACTGAGCCAGAAGCAAAGGCATTCTGCCTGAAGATCCATTTCCTGCTACTCCAGTCAATGGTCATTGTGATGGGTTTGGTCACAGAAACCCCCTTGGGACTGTCTATGCTGGGGCAGATGTAATGTCCTGGTGAAGGAGCTGGTCTCTTAGCTTCGGTAAGAGCCTTCATGGAATACTGCATGCAAGGACACAGGAGAAGCTAGAGTGGCTGCTGCATGATGGTGTTTCCATGATGCCTGATCTGAGGATAGAAACAGTATTCTGAGATCAAGTCCTGGGATCCTCCAAACTGATGATGTGGAAGGGGCTCAGGATACCAGATTAGCACTGAAGAGCTAGGTGTGGGGCAGCATCAAAATGCAGCTGGCAAAATGGCCATTAGGTACTGTACTCAGATGGTGTCCTTGGGATTTGTAATGGTGAAGTGTTCAGGTTTGTTAGTGCTGAGAGGTCCAGTGGATGAGATGTGTGGAAAAGAGGTGACAACTGCCATTTGAGAGGCCCCATACCAATCCTATATTGATGGGAGAGTGTGCTTCCTCTTATTTACATCTCCCACCCTTATGGGGAGCTGGCCTTCCTTTTTTTCCTTCCCTGAGGGTACTCTGATGGGTCCTGTGGAGCAGTTATCAGTGCTGGAGGACAGGCCCAGTACAGGACTCAGAGCTGGTGCAGATAGCAGTGGTGCTGGTTGAAGCGGTAAGACACCTGAGTCTATACAAGAGCTTTTGTAGCCTTGTGAAACAGGATGCCTTCATCTCAGTGCTGTACTATGAATCAACATTGGGGCAAAGCAGTGTTGGCTAATTCACCCCATGAGTGGTACTGATGAACTCCCACCTCTTCAGTGGAAGGGTGTGCTGAAGCCAAAGTGTGGGGTGGGGGGGTGGGGGTGTATCTTCCACCCCACCAGGAAAGTATTCAGCCCTGAGGCTGCACTTGGGCTATGTACATTCTAAGGCCAGATGAGCCTGGGACCTCAAGTCTCAATCCCTGCTCATCTGAGGAGTAAGGGTACAGCAAACTGTACATCATGGAGGTGAGTAGGCTTCACCCAGACAGCTATGGGTGTCAGATACTAGCATAGTCTATACTGCAGCTGGGAGCAAGCTTCCCACCTCAGCTAGATAGACTTGTACCAACAGGCTTGAGCTAGCAGTATGGACATTGCATGAGAATGCTTGAGAGCCCATGCTGCAATGACATCACTGCTATTTTTAGCATACTAGCTCAAGCCCTGCACCCATGAGTCTGGTCTAGGTGATTTACCTCCAGCTACAGCACAGCCTGATGGGAAGTGGCTCAGGCCTCAACACAGTCCCAGTGGAGAACTTTGAGTGCTTGCAGGACAAGAAAATGGACTATTTAACTGAACAGTAACCCCCTCTCCCAGAATCTTGCCCAAGGCAGTGCTATTGCTTGACAGCAGGGGGAGTCAATCCCACAAGGCTGTACAGAGACAGTTTGAAGAACAATGGGAGCATAAATGCCATCCCTTCCCTGTTGCAAACCTACATAGGGAATTTGAATGAAGCAGTACTGCCTAGGCCACCTAACTCCCCCATTTAGACTTCCTTTCAAATCCATACACACTCAGCTGTGGGTACAGATGAAGCTTCCTGGATCCTGATGCTCCCCCAGAGCTAATGGCCTCACTCACATCTCAACACAAGTGGGAGTCTCAAGGTAGCTATTCAGCCCCTATCTCTGCAGTGGCATCTGGGCACCAGGAGGCATTCAGAGAACATGCCTAAGTGGTAGCAGCTGGGGCTAAGCAGGTAGCCTAGCACTTAGGAAAAGCACTTGGGATATGGAAGACCTAGGTTTGAAATCCCTTCTGATTTAGCCTACCTACTGAGCAGAAACCATAAAGGGCTGTGCCTAACTCTCTTTGAGGGGTTAGGCTTAGGTCCCCCTCCTTCCCTCAGCATTTCCTACTAACTAGCTTGGTTTGCTGGCATCTGGGAGTTTGGCTCTTTGCCTCAACGACTTGGCCACAAAGGCATTTAGGTGCCTAAGTCCCACAGGAAATCAATGCCATGGCAGGGAACCTGACTCCCTTTCCACTGCCTCTCTTTCCTGTCAGGCTGACTCCTAGAATAATTATGGCATGCATCGGCTTCTCTTTAGGAAGGGAGGTATTTTTTTTCCCTTCATGAGCAGCAACAACTTGATTGAGCCTGAATCACTATGGCATTTTATTAAAGAGTGGGAATTTAGCACATTCTCCTTCAACAATCCCCCAAATCAGCACCAACCCTTTGCCCAGAAAAAAAAAGTCAACTGATCAAAAAGTTCACTGCAACAGTGATCATCTGCAGCTTGCAAACAACCTGAAATAACTGAGTAGTTTGATTGGTGAGGCTTGAGAAACTTAAACCACCCATCACGGAAGTCAATTACACCCACACAGACATCCCCTCCTCTCAAACAGATCACAAGGGAGTTGTCATCTGATTTTACCAGAGTCTTGCTTGAAAGCTTTCCTTCCCACCATTTTTCAGAAAGCAAGTTTAGTGTGAAAGACCAGTAGGTTCTTGACAGGGAGAGTGCACAATTAGCTGTATGTACTAGAATAATCACAAATGACCCAGCCTCAAAATATGCAAAGACTTCTGTACTGGAATTGGCTTAGGAGCAGCTCACCCTCTAAAAACTTTAGCTTAGAAGATTTAGGAAGCAATGGTCAATCCAATGCTCAAATAGTTGGTGTCCTGGTGTAGGAGCACAAAGCAGGACAAAATATGTGGCAATCATTGGCCTATGGCATCATCTGGCTCCATTTCATTAGTAAATATGGGAAGTGGGGCCCTATCCCTCATGCAAGTATGAAAAAAGTTATTTCAGCATGCATTAAACCTCCATTTCAAACTGTGAGAAGAATGTAATATTTGTAGTTGCCTAGATTCTGTTAAAAACACTTAATTAGAAGTAATTTCACTAATTACACTTACTGCTGAATGCCTTTTATTTACTTATTTCTAAATGTTTTTCCCTTATTGCTATGTCAGACCCCCAAAGAAACAGGACAAGCTAACTCCATAAAGGGGAAAGAATGAAATTGACACCACACCCACCCACCCAACAAATACAGGATGCTCTTTACAATACCTTTATTCTGTAAATATTCAACTTACATCAATTAGCTGTTATTTGCAACAGTAGGTAATGTGTATGTTTAAGTTAACAGTGTCCCTTTAAGTCTAAAAAGCTCTGGGACTGTTTCAAACAAAAGACTGCTGCTAGCCAAAACCATTTACAGGAAAGGGAAACCATTTCTACACTAACCCATTGGAGCTGCTTATAATGTACAGCTATTTGAATTGTAACATTTAACATAGGGGAGATTTAGACTCTCACTGAACTACCAATAGAAAGAACCAACTCTTCCTTGAACGAATGCTTCAATTTTTCATATGCCGACCAGGAACAGCATTTTGCAAAGTATCAATTTTAATTTTATTTGGATATACCTCCTGGTTAACACTTACCCTTAAACTCAGTTTGCTTGAATAGTTAATCAACAAAGTTACTCTGCAGTTTTAAAATGTTCATCCTACATCTTAAAAAAATATCCAAAGTTTTGCAATCTTATTTGGTTATTCCTGAATTTTATTTTTAAACATGTTTAAGGATACAGAATTTAAGCATATTAGAGTTACAATTTGTATAATAAGAGTAGTAAAAAGTTGAGTTTAACAATCGATTTTTATCTATATACTTTACCCTTTAAAGCACTTCTTTAAGGTTTAATGCTAATATTAGCTAAACTTCGTTTTCAAGTGGCTTTTTTTTGCCAACAAGATTACTTGAACAAAAAGCACACTACCACTAAAATAGTCAATTTTCTAAATATACTGTTCTAAATATATGGTTACAAAGAGAAGGCAATAAAAATACTTATTCATCCGAAAAAGAACATACAAAGAGCAGCAATATGTTCTAGATCATGGATAACTGATATTATCACTTGCAGAAGAAACACTTATTAGTTTCCTTTTGTTGCAATGGCTTATAACCATAGAAACAGTAGTAAATTAGAGTTGCATGATCCTACAGAAAAAGAGATCAGCAGAACTTTGTTGAAAATTTCACATTTGTAAAAATCAGCATTAGGCTACAAACAAGTCTTATGGTTGCATGAATAAACAAGATAACGTGTTGAATGGTAACATTCCCAGCCATGATATATAATGTAAATGCTCAATGCAGCATATCTCCTCTTGGACTCAAGAAATGCTCATGTGCAGAATCCAGAAGTTGCTGAGTATAATAGCCCAAGATTAGCTGAGTTCTCATTACATATGCATATACAATACAATGGCTTTAAATTTAGACCTCAGGGATTGTATGGTCCATCAGACTTTTCATGATGCCAGAAGCCATCCTGGGGGAAGGGGGAAAAAAAAGTCCTTTACTAAATTTAAAAAAAACTTCAAACCCTTACTTTGTTATTAAAAATAATGCAAAGAAAGAGAAACCAAAGAATACTTGACATTAAGTTTTAAATCAAAGCATTTTGTCTTACTAGATTAACAGCAAAACATTGCAGCAAACGATATAGAAAACTAGCAGGTAACCATGCCGTTGGCATTTTATTCTACCTTGTACGTTATGAAAGAAAACAGAATATTCTAATATACCTTGTGTATGGGTAAAGAACTGGGAGGTGTATTCTGCCTGATGTCAACTACAGAGAAACTGCTGAGTGTAGCAGCTAAGGATAACTTTTTCCATCCTCAACTTTGAAAGCAATATGTTTTTGTCATACTGCAACCAGAAGAGGTGCTCAGGTAGTGGCAAAGGCTTAAAGCACAAATGAAGATGGCAAAAATGTCTCAGTTTTACACAGAGAATAGTGGAGTCCTAGTCCATCTTTAACAGAAGCTGGACTAGTTTTAGTGCATCACCATGGTCTAACTGGGCTGAGCAAACTTTTTGGCCCGAGGGCCATATCTGGGTATGGAAATTGTATGGCAGGCCATGAATGCTCGCGAAATTGGGGTCAGGGTGTGGGCAGCAAACCACTGAAGCATTTGAGATTTCAAATACATTGCTATATTAAAAAATCCATTAGAACTCTGAAATATTATTTGGCTAAATTTCAAAGAGGGCTGTTACTTTGAAAAACGTTAATGAAGCAGAAAGTTACATATTATTGATTTTTTTTTTTGTATGAGATGTAGGAGACATCTTTCAATTTGACTGGAATAACAGGATTAAAGACAATGATTTCCCAGTCCCAAAAGACTCCATTTCAGGTTTACAATTGTTTGAAGTAAAAAGGTATTCCATTTTTGTAATCAGCTACTCTAACATTACACATGAACTCTGCCCAAGTCACAACAGGACTGAAATGAAATACAAATCTTGTCCTACAATAATCCGAGATATAGTCTAAACTGTGGGAATTTTGTAGGTTACACACTTCCCCCATAAAGCTATTCCAGTGCCCTAATTCCTTGCCACTAATTTCTTCTGTAAGTTTACTCTGTTTTGTTTGCAGAAAACACGTTTTCCAACTTTTGTCTTAAAAGGATACCATAGTCATCCCCCACAAATTCAGATTAAATCATGTTAGTGAACTGAAAACACATGACAGCAACACCCTTAGCATAAATGCATTTCCACAGCGTGCCTGATGCCAGATTTGGCATTTTCTTGACTCAAACACACAAAATGCATTTGTGTTTGAGAGTTAAAATTTACCCTAGAACCAAAGGAGTAATCGTCCATTGGAATATTGTTTCCACAACACTTAAGAAGCAGATTCGTGCAACTAATTAGCTATATTTAAAAAATGAATCAAAGTTTTCTTGCTTACCTCTTAATTATATGTTCAAAGATATATGAAGGCATGATAGTAATTGTCACAACATTCCCAGCTGTTGCCAATATGTCTGCAATTTGGGAGTCCTGTTAATGAAATACAAATGAACAAAAAACCTCATGATCTGAATTCCTGAAATCCTTCTGCATATAGCTACGGACTATAAACAGGGCAAAAAGAACCTTTTCAAAATATCTGCAAGGAAACACTAAGGGAAGATATCTAATGTAGACTAGGACCAAACAATAGCTGTTAGCATCATTAAAAGATCCCTGGTCTTGGAATACAAAGGTCAGCATGTACCCAGACACAAGGAGGACACCCTGGACAGGAAGCCATAAATTTACAGGGCAATCACTCCCAATGTTGATACTGGCAAGGGAACATCTAACAAGATGTACCTCATGTCTCCAGATGGAGAAGGAGAAGAAATACCACGCACACATTTCTTAGAGAAATGATACTAAAACAGAGAGTTTAAGAAAGTTGATGACAAAAACCTAAGGATAAAGCTAGGTAAGAGCCTAACTCTTAATAGCCATTTCTATCTGCTAAGACACACAGAAAACTGGAATAATCAGATAGACCACCTTCAGATATTGAGATGTTGTTAAAATTTTGTTGAGCATTCTTGATTACATGGACTACTGGTAAAAAGTCACATCAATAAGTGTTCAGAATGACACTCTCTCATACCATACTTGTGATCTTCTAAAAGCCCCACTCCCCTCTCAGAAGAGTGCAAAGATGGGACTATTGTTACGCTGAATTTATTTTTGTAAAGCACATTACTTTACCTTCAGTCCAATTACATTCTGGCCATTAATTTCACACATGTTGTGATCTGTAAGAAGACCATTTCTAGCAGCAGAACTGTCTTTTACTATTGAGGTTACTTTTCCATTTTTGAATATGAAGCCAACATGACCTGTGCTGTCCTTATGCATAGTAAGAGTTCGTTCAAAAGGCCTGTAAGAAATATGTTCACAACTTATTATTGTACTATATTCACCATATACTGAACAATTCCACAAGAGATTATAGAGTTACTACTAAACACTAACAGCTCTGCAAGTTTATGCCATAATATATTATAACATTTACAATATCTTTGACCTACAAGTATTCTTTTTGTCTGAAATGTCTGTTCTCAATATTGGTACTATCCACCTTCCTAGCTAAAATATTTATAAAATTATATAGATTAAGATACAGTACGTTCCAGAAGTCAGTTTTGATTATTCAATTTTATGAGTAATTGCCATTTCAGTTTCAAGTTATGATTCTAACACACACAGTTCACTTCAGCATTGAAAGAGACTATGGTATTTTAGGTGACTAATGTACTCTACACACCCATACTTTCAACTATATGCTGAAAGTGGCCTGATATAACCAGCTACTTCACTTAATATTTTAAGCTTATTTTTCCACTCAGGCGATAATCATTGTTCATTGGCTTTTTACCTATATTCCCCTATGACACAGGAAATACGTAAGTATCCCACCCTCTTTAACATATGTACATTTACATTTTAAATTACGCATTCTTGTAGAATGGATTGGTCAGCAAGTGTTACAACTAAAATAGCATTGTCATATATAGTAATAACATTGGTCAGATCACTGATCTCCTTTTTGAAGGCCTAATACTTGCCCACATACAAACTTGCACTGATGTGTTTTTAAATCAGTTTAAGTTAACAAGTGCAAATGTGTATGCAGACACTTATTTCAGTTTAACTAACAATGTCAAAAACACACCTCTAATTAAACTTGCACGAGTCTGTATTGCTAAAGACCTTGGTTTAAAGCAGGGGTGGGCAAACTTTTTGGCCCGAGGGCCACATCGGAGTTGCAAAACTATATGGAGGGCCAGGTAGGGAAGGCTGTGTCTCCCCAAACAGTCTGGCCCCCCTCCCTATCCACCCCCTCCCACTTCCTGCACTCTGACTGCCCCCCTCAGAACCTCCCACCCATCCAACCGCCTCTCGGGACCCCACCCCTATCCAACAGCCACTTCTCCCTGACCTGACTGTCCCAACCCCTATCCACACCTCCACCCCTTGACAGGCCCCCTGGGACTCCCACACTTATCCACCCGCTGCTGCTCCCTGACTGTTCCGACCCCTATCCACACCCCCACCCCCTAACAGGTCCCTGAGACTCCCACACCTATCCAGACCCCTCTGTTCCCTGACTGCCCCCCCGAACCTCTGCCCCACCTGACTCCCTTACCATGCCAGAGCCAGCCATGCCACCCAGCAGGAGCAGCGGGCCAGAGTGCTGGCGGCGCAGCGTGCCGTGGCTGCAAGGAAGGGGGACCATGGGTGAGGGGCCGGGGGCTAGCCCCTTAAGATATATGTATACTTTTTTTCCTATTCAAAAGAGGCCTAGACAGTAGTAGCAAAAACCTAAGCAGAATTGCATTGGCAGAGTTTGAGAGAAACTCTGCATAATACCTGCCTGAGACAGAGTTAGCAGCCCTTGCTAATGCCAACAGTCTTAATTTAACAGATTTACTCATGAAATATTAGACAAGAAAAGGAAGCTTCTGAACTACTTAGACTGTAAGCTCTTTGGGGCAGAGATAGTCTTTGTTATGCGTTTGGTGCTTAAACACAGAAGAATCCCACGCCTGGACGAGGGGCTCATGGTGCTACTGCAATACAAATAAGTAATAATGAACAATCACTTTCCTTTACACTTGATAGTTTTACCTGTCACGAATTATCATCGAAATTCTCTCCCCCGAAGCCTGCTTGAGAACTTTATGGGATTTCTCAGAGCTCCATCCTGCACAGTTTTCACCATTAATTTGCAGAACTTGGTCCCCAAACCTCAGACCAGCTAAAGATGCTGGAGAGTTGGCTTGTACTAACTGGACAAATATACCCTAAATGGAATGATAAAAATTGATTATTCTTGAATATTAACAGTCAGAAAAAGTTCCCAGTGCCTATTTTACACATAACAAAGTATACATAAGCAGCAAGCAGAAGATGAGTTGAACAACTATGCCTTTTGAAAATAAAGATATACTACAGGAGATGAATAGGCAATAATTTTTTTTTAAATACATACAAAGGTGACCTACAAAAGCTAAAAGGCTTATTAATCCTTTTATGATACAATGAAGGCCTGAAATCTTGTTTTTCATTTTTAAAAATGAAGCATTACCACCACAGAACTATCAGGAAGACTAGTCTTCACATCCCCTGATTTTACGGCAGGATCTCTTGGTCTCAAAGCAGGTTTATTGTGAGCTTTAAAGACTTGCATTAAAGTGGTGAAGGATGGTGAATCATTAGCAATGGATTTTACGTATCTCAAACGCTAGTCTGAGATAAACAGGTGTTAACACAGTTGACTGAAAATCCCTTCTTCTCTCAGCTACTCAGCTTTGATTCCTGTGAGGTTATTTAGTAGTGCTTCAGTCATCATGGACCCTGTCTACAGTTAAAAAGCTAAACTAGCAATGCTGGGAGCCCTAATGTAGTTGGGGTTGTGTCTGCAATTATGGTTAACACCATCATGTTGATTAGATTTGCCCCCACTTCACTTTCATGAAAGGGTGCTGAAAGCTAAACCCCACCAGTGCTGGGGCACACAACACCTGTTCAGCTTAACCAGTGTTGACAATAGTGGGATGTTTCCGAAATGCAGACAAAGCCTTAGGGTCTTCCAAGGTAGACAACACCAGAATTTCTATTTTAAAAAAAAGCTGTAAGATAGTTATACCTTGGACAAGCCCAGTTTCTCCTGATTTTGCAGGTCACTTAAGAATGTGACAAGTTTCACAGTTGGGAACAGTCAGTCAGAAACCACAATGGAGGAGAGACTGGCTGCAGAGAAGTTAAAATGATTTCTTTGCACATTTGGTCACCACAAAGGAGAACAAGAAAACCATACTTTGGTGTTACTCTTTATAGATAGGTTTCAGAGTAGCAGCTGTGTTACTCTGTATCCGCAAAAAGAACAGGAGGATTTGTGGCACCTTAGAGACTAATTTATTTGAGCATAAGCTTTCGTGGGCTAAAACCCACTTCATCGGATGCATGCAGTGGAAAATACAGTAGGAAGATAGATATACACACACAGAGAACATGAAACAATGGGTGTTCTCATACACACTATAATGAGAGCGATCAGTTAAGGTGAGCTATTACCAGCAGGAGAGGAAAAAAACCCAAAACCTTTCGTAGTGATAATCAAGATGGGCCATTTCCAGCAGATGACAAGAACATGTGCGGAACAGTACGGGGGAAAAAACATGGGGAAATAGTTCTGCTTTGTGTAATGACACATCCACTCCCAGTCTTTATTCAAGCCTAAGTTAATGGTGTCCAGTTTGCAAATTAATTCCAATTCAGCTGTCTCTCGCTGGAGTCTAGCAAATACTCACCAGCAACCACATGCCACACAACAAAAACACTAACCCAGGAACCTATCCTTGCAACGAAGCCCATTGCCAACTGTGCCCACATATCTATTCAGGGGACACCATCATAGGACCTAATCACATCAGCCACCCTATCAGAGGCTCGTTCACCTGCACATCTACCAACGTGATATGTGCCAGCAATGCCCCTCTGCCATGTACACTGGCCAAACCGGACAATCTCTACGTAAAAGAATAAATGGACACAAATCAGGCATCAAGAATTACAACATTCAAAAACCAGTCGGAGAACACTTCAATCTCCCTGGTCACGCAATTACAGACCTAAAAGTCGCAATATTACAACAAAAAAAACTTCAAAACCAGACTCCAATGAGAGATTGCTAAATTGGAATTAATTTGCAAACTGGACACCATTAAATTAGGCTTGAATAAAGACTGGGAGTGGATGTGTCATTACACAAAGTAGAACTATTTCCCCATGTTTATTTTTCCCCCCGTACTGTTCCTCACACGTTCTTGCCATCTGCTGGAAATGGCCCATCTCGATTATCACTACAAAAGGTTTTTCCTCTCTCTCTTGCTGGTAATAGCTCACCTTAACTGATCACTCTTTTTACAGTGTCTATGATAACACCCATCGTTTCATGGTCTCTCTCTCTCTGTGTATATATATATATATCTTTCGACTGTATTTTCCACTGCATGCATCCAATGAAGTGGGTTTTAGCCCACGAAAGCTTATGCTCAAATAAATTTGTTAGTCTCTAAGGTGCCACAAGTACTCCTGTTCTTTAGAGATAGTATAGGCTAAATCAGAGCTTCACTTTCCCTAACGTTCCCCATCAGAGTATACTGTCTTAATCTAAAGGTGATGCAGGCACTCTTACAGTGGTTAATAGCACAATGAGAAATTAAAATTGCAATGTGTTACCCAGCTAAAGTTTATGAATGAAGACTAAAGCTACCGAGCTATGACCAAAATGCCATTTATCAAGTATTATAGCAGATAGCTGAAAGGTGTCCAATATCTGTGATGCTGCACCCCATATTCTTCAGTGATATTAGCATATGATTATAGCATAATTACGATGCATTTTGTACAAAATGAGTCGTGTGAGGTGTCGTTGGAAAAGTTACGATTTGCTGAATATGATTCGTATGCATGTATCATTTTTGTATCTAAAATTAAGAATATTGACTATGTATCTGTATTTCAATTGTGCTTACTTTGGGTGACACCCACAACTAGCCTTTCAGGTACAACAATGAAGAAACCAGACGGGGCTGATGGCCCATCAGCAAAGACAATGGACTGTGGAATAGCTTAACTTTCCTGTGGGCATTTTGGCCAGCCTGTAAACAAGAGCTGCTATAACAATGCAAGGGCATGTGACCAGACCACATGTCTCTGGACTCCATCTTGGATGTCAGTATTTTTCCACAAACCAGTTTGGGAACCAAGTTTTGAAACAAAAGGGTTCTTGCCATATGCTAAAACTATATAAGGCAGGGGAGTGACATCATCCGTGCTTCTTTCCTCCCCACACAAGACGAGTCCTGGAAACACCCGAGGAACAAAGACTGAACTGGGGGAAGTGCTAGATCCAGGCTAAAGAGATTTCTAGCCTGTATATGAAACAACTGGGCATGCCAAGCTGCAAAGCAAGTGTAACTTGTGCCTTAAGACTCTGTAGCCCACCTATATCATCTGTCCGTGTGAGATATTAATTCAAATCTTATCTTTCGAGTATGTTAAGCTTAGTTTGCATTTTTGTTTATTTACTAGGTAATCTGCTTTGTTTGCCATCACTTACACTAACTTAATCTATTTTTTATAGTTAATAAATGTTTTATGTTTTAATCTAAATCAGTGAGTTTCGAGTGAAGTGCATGGGAATCTTAGCTCAGAGGGGCTGGTCCATTTCCTCTCCACATTGAACTGGAGGTGAACTGGATAATAAATTCATACTGGGTTGGGGTTTGGACCAGGGCAGAACAGCAACTGGTGGTTATTTTGGCTGTAGCCTCTCTATTGTTGGTTCACATGCAGTGGCTGGTCAGAGAACTGCAGCTGTGAGTTGTCCCTACCTGTGTGAATGCTGGTGGAAGTGTAAGACTGGGAGCATGTCTGCAGCTTGTCACAGCAGCATAGTGTGAGAGGGAGCCCAGGCTGGTGGGTCAGAGGGCTGAGTGGTACCCCAGTTCGAGGTGGTACCCTGGTGGGGAACCTGTCACAACCTGTACTTTTTATATAAAAAGGTGCGATATGTAAACTTGGGTACTAAACGTACAAGTAGTACATAATGCTAGTTGCTTCTATACATTTATATAAAAGTAAATCATTAGGTAGTACTTAAGTTTAGATCTCTAATCTATTAGTATATTTTGAAAGTGTTAACAGAAGACAAAAACAGCAGCTATAGATAAAAAGACAGAAGAAACATTATGCACCAGATAGAAGTTTATCCCATTTTGTATTAAACTTCACACTCCCATACAATTTCACTTTTCATTACAACAGGATTCAGTTACTGATCTACAGAAGCAAGACAGATTTAAGTTTCCATATACTTACATTGTCTATAGATTTAAGACGAAGTCCAATTTTTCCATCCTGATCTTTACACACAACTACTTCACGGATGCCTTGTTTAATTTCTGCTCTGCGAATTCCAACATCATTTCCAGTTACTGGAGCCACCATGTAATTCACAGTGGAAGGTCTTGTTACCAGTTGCTGCCGATTAAAAACCACATCATATCAAACTACTTAGAACAGCAACTTGTGTAGACATCTGAACAGGACAGGTCAGTCAAAATGAAATCACATTTTCACACAAATAAATGAAATTTTAGGATGTCTTACTTCGTTATTTTGGGGGCAATAAAATTGTTAAGGTTCAGTAAAAATTTCTTTATACAAAGCTCTAGAGATGGAATGACTTAGCACCTTAAGATCATTAATCCATCACTGATTAACTATGGTAATTACCAGAAGTATAATCCACTAAATAGAATATGTGGAGTCCTATTTTTAAGAGCAAGGTATTTTGTTAATAAATACCCTGTCTCTGTATTTTCTAAAGATCAGGTTTACTTGAATGGTACCTACCCCCTGAGATTGTGTATCTGCAACCATTGGCAAGTTTCTCTGTACTTCTTCTTCATTAAGACTTAGGCCCATGTACTGAGCAAGTTCTGGGTATAGCCTGGGATAGAGGCCTATTGAAAGAAAAAAATGTAAATGATTCACTATTTATAATATAGAAAATACTTAGTATTTTAGTGAATAAACATTTACTGATTTACTAGAAGAACACTGTAGATTATGTTCCTATATGTTACTTGTCTGTTCCAGTGCTTTACTTCAAGGTCAGCTGCATCAATAGCAACAAACTTTGCTTCTGAAAGCACACGCAATATCATCCATTAGAACAATACTGCTATTTTGTCACCCATCTTAAGATACTTTACTACTACTACATTTTACATAAAGCACTCTCCATTGTTGAGGTAATTTTTAGCCTTTTTTTAATCCTAGTTGAATCTATGCCATGCCATTTTTAGTTTCCAGTAATTCATGAAAACAAGGGTGAAGGGATTTGTCACCACAGACAGGAGGTGAGAAAGCACTTAAAAGCTAGACTGTGCTCTGGAAGTCTCTGAGCAGAAGGCATGCGCTTCAGTCTCCCCAGGCCTGTGTGGAGGGGGGGGAGGGAGGCCATTTCCCTTTCACCCCATTCCCAGGACTGTATGAGGACTCTGCATTGGGAGGGACCCAATCTGGATGGGCATACACATGTTGCAAAGGAGCAAAGCATCCGATCAGTAGTTCTCGCAGAGACTCAGAGACTGCACACAGACCGTCCTTGCTTTTTGCAGATCCCCAGGCACCTGTAGAATTTTGGAAGGCAAGAGGCCATAGCCATATCCTGTCAACAAGGGAAAGAAAAACAACCCTAACGGAATTCCCTCCCACTGTACCTCTTTCCACAGGTTTTTACCAGAAGCATGCCCAGTATGACCCTCAGTTATTTCAACTTTCTGGGGTGGCTATACTGAATGTGTGTAAGCAAAGGTTAGAAAAGCATGAACTATTCATTCTCTTCGATACCCATTTGTTTTAGCAATTAGTTGATGCATAAGTGAAGACTGAAAAGAATAATCTGTCCTGAAAAATAGTAATTATCAGATTTTAACTAACTGTGGTGTCAATTTCTCTAGGAAAACAAGATATTTTGATTACTTAAAATATTTTAAGTATAAATTCAGTATTTTAAATTACTGATGAGACTATTAAGTACCCCGACACACTGTGTAGTACTAGCAAGTTAATGGCGCTATGAAAACCTTCTGAATTTCCTATCTTGCAAGTTCAAAAATGCTGAGTGTTACACAAAGGATTTTGCATTTAAAGCTACTGTGAATTTGCTTTTCATTGTCCAGTGTTTTAAGTATTTCACCGTACCTAATGATGAATATATTTTTGCTTTCAATAGTATCAGCTGACAGTAAACATCTTGATACTTTGCTCTAACACAATTCACTTCTTACAGCTATATGAAACTAAGGCACACAATCCACTTTATAAGACCGTGTTCGGTCAAATCATACTTCCATGGGGGAAAAAAAGCCCTCAGAAGGGCCAGAAAGCTATTAGTTGCAAGTCAGTTTCTGTGGAATAGCAACATCAAGGGAGCAGAATGTGCTGTCCCATAGAGCAAACATGGCAAAAATTGGAAGTAGTCATTGTTTTATTACAACAGGAAGAAAGTCAGTTTTGTTGAAAGGAAGTGGTATAAAAATATTTTAATACTGAGTTGGTTGGTCACTGGAAATTTCAGAAAAGCCAGGAAGATGTTTTTTAAAAACAAAAAACTGTTCAAAGACATTTAACACTTAATAGTTTAAAGCCATAAAACTTTACTCAACTATGATGGAGAAAAAGCCAATTTTTTAAAGAATAGTTCTGCTCAATAACAGTGCAGTTGGGTGACAAAATATCCCACCAAAAAACAAACTTAATTATAGTGGAGCAGCAGCACCTCTATAACTAAAGGTTGCTTCACAATATCTGTTTAAAGGTTACCTTTCTTAAATCCTCTAAAACTGACATGCTTAGTCGGATTTCTATGAAATTTAGTATGCCTTGGGAGGGTGTAGAGCAGGGTTGGTGAACCAAATGGAGTCACTGAGCCCAGGGTGCCAGAAACAAATTCCCCACACAAAAAAATGCAATATTTTAAAAAGTTTCTAGGTGGGATTTTTTTTGCCCAGAACTAAAGGCGGCGGGTCAAAATAGTCTAAATCTGTCAAATCTTATCCAAGATAGTGCATGGCACCCGTGAAATCTCAGGGGGGAGGGACGGACCCAAACTGAGAACAGTAATAAGAAAATGCACCGATACCGAAAAAGTGCTAGGTTTCCATTACTGCCATTTTATAATCTTTGAAGCTCCACTCTTGCAAGTGCTCTCAAATTGAAACATTTAACCGGATTGCTCTGAAATTCGGTGTGCTTCATGGGGGCACAGAATAGCATTAGGTGATACAAACTTGGGGTCATATGACCAAGGGATTCCTGCAATACACCCTTCCCTCCCCAGCTTTCCTTTTGCTGCCTTGTACTGTTAAACTGAGAGGTGCTAAGGATGGGATTAATCAACAGAGCTCTGGATGGCTGTAAACTCTCACCCTTCAGTTAACAAAACTAAGGATAAATTAATCACACACCCTCCACCTAAGTACAAAAGTAGTTTTGGACTGAATAGCTGGAGGCTGCTATAATCTAAGCCCCGGTCTACAGTAGGACTTTAGGTCGAATTTAGCAGGGTTAAATCGATGTAAACCTGCACCCGTCCACATGATGAAGCCCTTTTTTTCGACTTAAAGGACTCTTAAAATCGATTTTCTTACTCCACCCCGACAAGTGGATTAGCGCTTAAATCGGCCTTGCCGGGTCGAATTTGGGGTACTGACGGTATTGGCCTCCGGGAGCTATCCCAGAGTGCTCCATTGTGACCGCTCTGGACAGCGCTCTCAACTCAGATGCATTGGCCAGGTAGACAGGAAAAGAACCACGAACTTTTGAATCTCATTTCCAGAGACTGCGGGATAGCTACCCACAGTGCAACACTCCAGAAGTTGACGCTTGCCTCGGTGCTATGGAAGCACTCCGCCGAGTTAATGCACTTAGAGCATTTTCTGTGGGGACACACACACACGAATATATAAAAACGATTTCTAAAAAAACGACTTCTATAAATTTGACCTAATTTCATAGTGTAGACATACCCTAAGAGTCATGGATGGCAATTTTATTTTCGGGATAATGTAATCAGTCACTGAGGGAAAAAATTAGACATGTGACTGCTTCCTGGGAGAGTAGGCATATCAGGGAGGGGAGGAAGAGAGGGGAAAAGGGGTTGGGGCTGCAACGAAGAGATGAGGGTTATGTGGATGGATGGCACCTGCAGGTCTGCCAGTACACCCTGAGCCCTGTGCGCTACCAATACTGCCAGTGCATCCCAATTTGGATGGAATGCTATAGGTGACAGTGAACAGGTTGTAAAAAGGAGACAAGGTGCATCTGCATTTCAGGAACAGTGGGGTGGACATAGAAAAGGTGTGTGTTAACAGGGCATATTGGGGCATTGCTGAAAGAGCAGAGTTAAGGTTGAATGGGCAATCTTAACTCTGCATTTCCTGGTTTTCAGAAGTTTGAGTTTTGCTAAACTCAATGTTCTGCAAGGGAACAACATACCACCAAGCAAACAATGCTGTATTAAAATATTTTTTGCCATTGAATCTTATAGTGACTAGTTCTTCACAAACTTGGGATCCATGCGGACATCATCAAGTCAGAATCTTTGAATAGCAGTTTCAGAAGCATCCTTGTGCATCCCCACCAGAGGCTGAAAGGCCAGAGTGGCTACAACCCACCCTTAGTTCTCTTTACCTGGGATTTTGAATTGGCAAGTGAATGACAAAGGTTTGTGGGATCTATGTGGACAAGAAAGAATGGCTCAAAGAAGCATAATTACTTTAAGGTAAGTAAACTGTTTTTCCTTTAAGTGTGTGCACACGTGTGAATTGCATTCTAGTCTAGGTGACTAATAAGCAGAGATGCCAAACCTGTTGGGGGGCGGGGGGGAGAAGAAATGCAGAAACTGGCTTGTTTTTGGCTTAATTGACTTGTGAGTGGATTATTGGCTTGTAGCTGTTTTTTTTTTTTTTGATCAGCTCCTAGCAAGCAGGGGAAACGGGTGGAGGGGAAGCAGGAGCAAGAAAGTTAGGGGTACACAGTGGGCCCATCACAGTTCCATGGCGATCTAGTCAGATAGAGTGTTGCATGCCAGGGCGATCTAGTCATATAGAGTGTTGGGGTTCTTAGGGATTAGCTTGTTTTAGCATTGTTTTGAAATGGGATTAGCTTGATTTTTGGCTTATTGTGAAAATCAGGGTGCTTACTTACCACAACTGTGCTAATAAGCAGTATGGAAGATGGGACTGAGGAATCTTAACTGCCACTAACAATCCCCTATCAAATTTTGCATCTGACCTCATAGCCAGGAGAAGGGCAGTGTTTAACAAAAGTAAGGGGACTACCACAATTAGCTGCCTTGCAAATTTCAGATATGGTGATGTGTCCACAGCATGCACAAAATGCAGATTGTGCAGTAGTGGAGTGAGCTTTGGCATTTGAAGGAAGCGGTGTATCAGTCACATTACAGCAGACTGAAATACATGCATAATTCTTTTTTATATTCTCTGGGAGAGAATGGCTTGACCCTTAGGAGTACCAGAGATGGCAAGAAAAAGATGGGAAGACTGTGTAAAAGGCTTTATTTATCTTATGATGAAGATACAAGATCTTTGAAACATCCAGGATATAGAATTTCTTCTTTCCTGAAGAACAATGGGGTTTTCGAAAGAAAACAGGTAAATCAACTGTAATTCAAAATGAGAGTGACAAGTTTGGGAATAAACTTGCGATGAGGTCTTTACACCAATTTATCTCTGTGGAACATTGTGTGAGAAGGGTCAGCCTTACGAGACTGGAGTTTGGTCATCCTTCCGCCTGACGTAATGCTGACTAAAAAGGCTATCTTGAGAGTAAGGTAGTGCAAAGTGCACTCCAAGAGGCTTAAAGGGGGGCTTATAAGGACAGTGTGGAATCTTAATATTGTAGACAGTTATCTAACTGCTGGGTAAGTATGGAG